ATATGGAGACGACGTGATGGTGGAAGTAGAGAGAGGATGAAGAAGACGACTAGAAACAACAAGAAGGAACAAAAACAAAAGATAAAAGATAAAACCGCGAGCCTTGGACTCTTCCGAAGACTGACGGGTGATATGTTGCCCTCTTCCAAGAGACTTCAAGCCACGAGCCCGGACCCATCCTGCGGCTGGTGGAAATTCCGACTCCCTCCCATAGGGATTTCACTAACGTTCTTCCCAAAGAACACAAGTGCAAAACACAAATTTTTATTATAATTCCATCATGCCTAATACAAGAGAAGGGGCCTTGATATATAGGCCTCAAAAGAAATTAAAAGGCACATTTGCCCCTTCGGCTTACATAAGACAAGAGGGTAAAAAGGAAAATTGCAAAATTAAATCAAAATACACTTAATAAACTAAAATAAAACAAAGTGATCTCGGTCGATCTTCAGCTCCTCCTTGGATAGGCATGGACGGTTGGATGTCCGCATCATTCTCCCGGGGTGGAAAAAGACTCGACTCCGTTGAGTTCGCGTCCCGAGTGAGCAACCATGCTCTGATACCAAACTGATGTAGAAAAGGTATGGGGTTTATGGGAGACTTTGCTGTTTTGAGTCTGGGAAAATGCCAAATAGCAAAGGAAGTCTTCTTCGTCGAGGGTATAGCAGTTTGGCTGAAAGGAATAGGTGGACAACAGGTTGGTCTACTTAAAACAACAGCTTAGCGGCTTCCGTATGCTGGGCATGGCGGGACAGCAAAGAACAAGTGCCGAATTGTATGGACAGCAGCCTTGGTGGAATGGACAGCAGTTTGGACTTGCGAAGAATTCTGGACAGCAAGTTTATTTCTTCCAGAATTCTGGACAGCAGCTCAATCAGGGAAAATCTGGACTTTGTTGATCAGTTGGAAGGGGAGGAAATCAGTTGGACAGCAGTTTGCTAACTCTCAGAATTTCTGGACGGCAATTCCGTTAGGAAAATTTCAAGCTCTCATGTTCAGTTTGGAGAAAAGAAAGAGGAGTAGGCGATTGAGGGTTCCCTTGCGGTACTCCCCTCCACTTCAATTAGTTTAGGGGGAGATGGACGGTTAGAGAGGCTCCACTTCAATTAGTTTTGAGTTCTCGGAGGGGGAGATGGACGGTTAGAGAGGGGAGAAGAAAGAGCAGGCCGGCGGTATGAGGGAGGAAGGCGGGATCCTAAGAAAGGTTTGATTGCTTACCTCCTCAATTATTTTCAAATAGGGATGATTTAATTCAGCCCTAATTTGAATTTCAATTGAGCATAATTTGGGGACTTAAATGTTAATTGATTGCGGCAAGGATTAAAGAGAATTAATGAGGGGGTGGGCCGGCCATGAGAGAGAGAGGGGAATTTGTGTCTAAATTCGTTGTATGTGGGCCATGGTATTAATGATTGATGGATTAATTAAAATCTGAAATTAATTTCAGGTTTTAACTAGAATGACAGGTTGTCTTAAATGGTTTGGATTAATTTGGGAAGTTTTAGAAATTCAAATCAATTAGATTTGAATTCGAATTTTTCCCAAAAATCATGTGGCCAAACATGAAAGGTATTGAATGGGGAATTTTAAATCTAATACAATTAGAGATTAATGTGGATTCGACTAGAAAACTTTTCAAAAATAGAGTTCTAAATTTGGAAAGATTTCAAAATTCAAATTTGATTGAACAATCAAGGTTTTCCAAAGGAGGTTTCCAAACAAGGATTATGATTTAGGAAAATTAATATTGAATCCAGTCTATTTTGAATTAGATGGATGTCATGATTAACTTTCCTATTTTGGAATTCTAAAATGGAAAGAATTCAAAATTTGAAATTTGAATTTCAAATGAATTCGAATTTTTCCTCTCATGCGTAGCTAAATTAGGGAATCACTATGATGATTGAAATCATCATAATGAAGGGCAATTATGAGGGAAGTGAATTGGTGAGAGAAGGCCGGTAGTTGAATGGGGCGGGTAAGAGGCCGGCGGCAAGGCGGATATGGAGACGACGTGATGGTGGAAGTAGAGAGAGGATGAAGAAGACGACTAGAAACAACAAGAAGGAACAAAAACAAAAGATAAAAGATAAAACCGCGAGCCTTGGACTCTTCCGAAGACTGACGGATGATACGTTGCCCTCCTCCAAGAGACTTCAAGCCACGAGCCCGGACCCATCCTGCGGCTGGTGGAAACTCCGACTCCCTCCCATAGGGATTTCACTAACGTTCTTCCCAAAGAACACAAGTGCAAAACACAAATTTTTATTATAATTTCATCATGCCTAATACAAGAGAAGGGGCCTCTATATATATGCCTCAAAAGAAATTAAAAGACACATTTGCCCCTTGGGCTTACATAAGACAAGAGGGTAAAAAGGAAAATTGCAAAATTAAATCAAAATACACTTAATAAACTAAAATAAGACAAAGTGATCTCGGTCGTCGATCTTCAGCTCCTCCTCGGATAGGCATGGACGGTTGGATGTCCGCATCAAGAATGCTAAGAAGGAAATTTGTAGGGTTCTTGTGGTTGTAGCGGGACCTGGATAGCTGGAGTGAAGGCGAGCCAGCAGGCAAGAGGCAGAATCCTGAGTGCTGGACTATAAAAAGACAGAAGAACTGCTAAAAGAAGAAACCTCTTCCAATGGTATGAGGTTAGTGCAACAAGAGCACCATTGTCATGCTTCTTGGAGGCCAAGAAGTGAGGCATCTTTAGAAAAGGAGTAGACTCTCAAGAGGAAATAGAAGAGAATAAGAAATTTTTCATCAAGCTATTTGATTATAATATGGGCTATTTATACACTTGGATAGACCAAGTTTACAAGATAGACATAGTCTATATAATAAATACCTTAAAATAAAATAGATAAACTTGATCTACCTTACCAAAATAACAAAATAAAGTAAAGCTCATTATATATTCATAGACCGTTTTTTTTATATTACCACTCGACTACTTTGTAGTTATTCTTCTTCTTCTTCATTGATAGACTGATGATTGTTGCAATTTGCTTGTACCATTTTGTGATCTAATAAAATAAATTAACATTTAACAGAGAGCTAGTAGAATTCAAAAGCAAGATATAATCAACATTTTACATTACATCCACCCAAATGTTACAGTCTAAATAAAATGCAATCATAGCATCCTAAAGTCATTAACAGCCAAAATCAACCCATACAACAAAAATTGCTACAATAGACTTTCAAAATAAAAACCATCATCACCATCCCAACTATTACGGTGTTTTCTTATCTCCTCCGTTCACTCATATGAGAGTGCTACATGAGATGTTAAATATAGCCCATTCAAGTATTTTTACAGAACAAGCCACAGCACGTTTTGTTTACGACTTTTTCTTAATATTTTTTTACTTTACCTATATATCTCATACTATGCATCTTCTATCCTCTGCTATACATGTGCAAATCACCTGAGTCTACTTTCAACTATCACATCTTACATTTGAATATAATTATTTCTCACTATTCTTTTCAGTTTACAACAACATCCATCTTAACAATTTATTTATATTACATTCAGCTCAACTATTAATGACTTCTTTTGTTACCGAAACTTAGAACCTAAAGCACATACAATCAATAGTAATCTTATAAAAAATGAACTTTATATCTCGAAGGCATGTTCCTGTCAAAAAATACTATTGAGGTCATCCTCTATTTTGAACTTATTGTTCAGCTCTAGAAATTGTCTTCATATCTACTTCAATTATTATGTACAACAGTACAATAGATCCAGAGAAAATAAGTTTTGGTTCGTCATTGTATAATAAGAGAAATTAACCTCATGTATTTAATTAAGAAAATCAAATGCGGCTACTGTTAGAAATTAAACTGGCATTAACCTATGGATGAACACTAAAATTGAACTTCTGCTTGCCTTTTTCACGAGTAATTTTCAAAAGCACATATCTTAAGCCGCGTGCTGTGAATTCTACCCATCTAGTATCTAGATTTTCTAATAGCTAGTAAATCATGACTAAAATATTTTTTGGTTCAAAAACATGCAATTTGCAAGATATAAGCTGGAACAATTTTTCTGCAAGGGCAAATAGGACCAACTTTCAAGAGAAATAAAACGGATAAAATATCCTGTTTCCCATGATGCCTTGTTGATGAATAGTTACTCGATCGCTCCATTCATGTCCAGAAAACTTAGAAGGGTCATCGCACAAAACTAAAAAAACAGACAAATACTGCTTAAGAACAACCTATTCAAACGGCCAGCATTTCAAAACTGCGGTCAATATAAAAAACGCAATGCAGAGATGACTATGAGGTAAAAGTTTGCAAATCATCATTAACATGAAAGAAAACCCGTTTCATTATGAATTTTTAGCCAACTACTACCAAAGTTCCATGGCCCTCTAGAGACTCATAACAATTTCCATTTTTTTCAATATATTTCAGAACGATAACATACAAAACCAAAGGCAGGTCGTCTTTCTAAAGTGAATAAGAATGTAACTTCCAAAGTGAAGAATGTGAAGGTGGACGAGGAAGCTCATTTGCTTCCCTTTTCTGGAAGGTGAAATTCATAGCTTAAGCTTCAGAAAGTTGGCAGCTCATAAACAACATACTACCACATCTCTGTGAAATGACTCGAGGCATCAGGCTTAAAAAAAGTTAGCTTTGCAAACTAATTATCAAAACTAGAAAGTGTGATGATAAAAATTCTAGATTTTTCACGTTATTTAAGCAGAAAAAGGAAGCACAAGAACTATATGAATTTTTTTTTTCCTCTCATCTACTTAAAGCTATAATAAGTAAGCTAAAAGCTCGAGTAAACAGCACTTGAAGGATCACTAACAATAAACCAGGAAGGGTGGAAATACAAGAAAAAAACTGAAAATTATAATAAATAACGTAGTCCTACTACAAAAGATTAAGAGACTAACCTTCTTCCACTTAGCAATCAAATTACTGTCCGCATATCCCTGATCCAGGCAGAATTCATACAAGTCTTTTGATATTTCCTTCCTCCGGTAATATAGGTCATATACGTACCGACTCTTTTGATGTGCAATTTTGAAAATTGGCCACAATGCCTCACATTTTCTCTTTCCATCATGTGGATCATTTTCAGCTGCCACAACAAATTAATGTCAGAAGTCCACAATACATAGCTACTGACTTGTACATGCTTGCCAAAGAGAAAGCTCTAATTTGGTTCTCAAATAATGAATACGTTACTCAGATTTGTACCTTCTCTCATTTTACCCTCAAGCTCACGAAAAGTAGGCTCAATAAGCTCCCATCCTTCTGGATATTTAATGCGGCTTGTCTTTACTTTAGGCATTTTCACGAAGAGTCACTCTACACTTTAACAGCACCAGATACCAACCTATAAGTTTAAACTAAACCAAAAAAGATGTCATTTCAAGCTATAGTGTAAAGATGATCATCGCTTTAAATCAAGCCTGCATGAAGGTATGATCGCAAATGGCATACAAGCAATCTATAAATGATTCAGCTAAACAAAATGGCATCTAACAAGAATTTGCCGATCAATCTCACAAAATTCAAGTACAGTTAAAAAAGATAAAAACTATTCATGATTCCTAGTGGTAACAGATAAAAGGTCCAGCTGTGAGTGAAATTAATATTTCATAACTAAAATATATTTGTGAAAAACGTGTAAAAAATGAAAAAAAAATTGTCAGCCAAGCTGTTTAAGGTAAGTAGTTTTCTTCAAAAGTATTTGGGTTCAATCCTAACAATTTTTTTTTATTTTTAAAATAAGGTACCTCATATATAGCAAAAATAAAAAGGCTAAGTAGCATAAAATGTTTATAGATGCCTTAGCTTTAATATGGAATAAATTTATGTAACACTGAAACAATATAAATTTGAAAAAAATTCAGGAGAAATGTAAATTTTATACAAGGCTATCATCCAACCTACAAAAAGCGCTTTAAAAAAATCCAACCAACAAAAAGTGCTAAACACCAAAAAAAAAAACAAATTGTAATTCACCAAACAGAAAGACAACCCAAATAAAAGAAGGTTTAACACAAGAAAAAAAAATAAACGGATTTATAATTCAGTCATTTACCAAAACCTGATATAAAATCAGGTTTAGATAAGAAAAAACAAACAGCGTAAGAATAAAGATACAAAAAAGCATAATTGTAATCCTATAGAATCAAAAAGCCAAAAAAATAAATAAAAATAATAATAATAAGGTTAAGCATTTTTAATTGTTTGCAGATGTGAAGGCCAAGCACTAACATGAGGAAAGCAGTTGGGGTATAAAGTATAAACAATTTACAGTATCCATGTTTCTCTTATATTCTCTACCCAACAAACTACACTTTAATATTACTTTACCACCATAAACCCTTAATCTTAACTAATATAGCTCCACAGTTAGTTCTTGTTATCATATGTTCATATGCTTCAAATGGTATATTAATATCTTCGCCAAATTAAAGATTGCAAAATTCATTTACTTTATGAAGTATTTCATTTTGCATTTCTCTTAAATGGACATCCAAATAAAGCTAGATTTTTTTTAATTTTTCCATTAATTTTATAGGTTTTTTAATGCTTATTTAAACCCATGTAATGTTTACAAATAAAATGACAATATGAAAAAGTTAGTCTCCTTGTGAGATATTAGGATTAACTTGATGGCTCTTCCTGTAGATAGGCTTGATGGCTTCCCTCTTAAAATTATATCTGAATCATCTTTATTTTTTTTTTTTTTTTGTTTTATGAGTGAAATCCCATATTTCCATATTTCCTCTATGAGTAGCACCACTTCTCCTTCCATGATCTTAGCATGCAACTCATTTATACAGTCAAGAACATCACCGCCATATTTTAACTTTGATGTATGATAATAAATGATTATTTGAATGTTCTTAGGATTATTATATGATTATTTTAAGAAAAATTATAATATTATTAAGTATATGAATTGTCCGTCACCTTTGCATGGATTTAATGCAAATATTATACTTTTATTCATAAAAGAATAAAATAGAGAATGTACAAATACAGTTTTAAGTAAACCCACCTAAGTTACAACAAGAATCTAACAAGCCTACCTAAGTGGAGAAATACCAAACGGCATTGGCATTTGCATCATGATAGCTCGTCATGATGTACAATGAGTTTAACTCTCATCTTTAATTTTTAACTCCCAAACTCTTGATTTATAACTCTTTTCCTCTCAATGGCGGACCTAGATAGAGCCCAAGGTAGGCAATTAACCACCCCGAAATTTCTTTTTATTCTTGATTTCTTTTTAACTCCCAAACTCTTGATTTAAATAAGCATTCCAATACTTGCAACATTAATGAAAAGATTTAAAAAGGGTCATTTGCATCATGATAGCTCGTCATGATGTACAATGAGTATAACTCTCATCTTTAAAATTTTTAACTCCCAAACTCTTGATTTATAACTCTGTTCCTGTCTAGATAGAGCCCAAGGTAGGCAATTAACCACCCCAAAATTTTTTCCCCTTAATAGAATAAACATGTTATAAATTTATTCCCCCCCCCCCCAACCCAAATAATGGCATTTACCCAACACTCTAAGAAAAAAATTCATTTTCTATTTCTCCCCAAAGATTCCGGACACCCCAATCATATTTTTCCAACATACAAAAAAAAATATTGCTCCACCCCTTCTTCCTTCAATATTTGTAACTCCCTTGCTATTGATTTATAAAACTCTTCCTCTAAATTTTGTAACTCATACTCTTGATTTATAACTCTCTTCCTTCAATATCTGTAACTATCAATTTTTTGTGTAACTCTCACTCTATTGATTTATAAATCATTACATGGTCAGCGATCATCACACCACCACCACCAACAACAACAATAACAAGCCTTTACCCCACTATGTCGGGTCGGCTACATTAATCCTTTTTCTCCAGTGCCTTGTTAAGGGTCAAATTCTCATCTAAATCTAACAAAGAAATGGCATTTCAATAAATAATATGATACATCACAAGTATAATAAAAATATAATATTTACATAAAATCCACACAAAGGTGATGAACAATTTATATAATATGAAACATCACAACTTTTTCATACAATAATCATAAGAATATAAAAATAACCATTTATTGTCCTCCTGCACAAGAGTGTTGTTCCTTGTTAAAATTTTCCCAATAATCTGATGGATGATTTGTCCACTACCACTATTTTCTAACGTCCAATTAGAATCAATCCTACAAACGATGGAGCCTAAAGAGGATTTGACTCCAACCCTCCACCATTAAGGTAGTCTCAAGTTAATGCATCAAGGTTTTAAGGGAAAATTCATATTCTTGCATCACACATGGATTTTATATATAAATCGAGCATGAACATAACCACGATTTATGAAAAAGAATCAATTATTTTTAGGCCATTCTTAAATGTTCTTGGACAAGATTATAAAATAGATTCAGCTTAGACATTCACTAAATTCATAACACAAAATCCCTACTCTCAAGCAGGTCATTGAATCCTCCACTTCTAACCTTAAAAACACCAAATTATCAGAGGGCTTAATTTGGCTTAATATCTTATGAGGTAGATGATGTAATCACTGTCCATACTATGCACCCCTAATCTTCATCATTTGGTTCGATGAAAGCACTAGAAAGCCAAGGGGCATAATTTAGCATAAGATTTCTTGGGCGGATAAAACAATTCCCATTTTTAGCCAGGCCACTAAATTCTCCCATGTTATTCTTACATAGTATTGAAAAGTTATGAACCTAATTCAACTGAAGATTACCAAGGGAATGGTTAAATTCTCATTCCAAGAGGACTATTGAATTCTTCCCTTGTACTTTCATGATGCTCTCAACCTAGCGCAATAAAGTGTATGAGACTTAATTTAATATAAAGTTTATTAAGTCAATCAAGGAATTTTCATTGCTTACAAGCATCCTTTGAACCTAGCATCGATGTTGCCTCTAAGGCCAACCAATGATGCCATCTCCAAGTCCTATATCCACTATTATATATGAGCTTAGCTTCACCTGCTATCACAAGCTCCTTCTTAAAAACTTGAATGGTGGGCATCTACCTCATTTAACAGTAATAAAACTTATCACTCCTCTTAAGCAATTATAAATAATATTGACCTAAACCTCTAAAAAAAGGAAAAAATAGCATGAAATTATCTAAATTAGTGAATGCATTATACTCTACCTTGCAACACACCATTTGATTTGAAATACTCCTTACAAGACAAGAAATAGACATACTTTTTCTTAAAAAGCGACAAGTCTCCTTTTGTTGAATTTAAATGAGGAAACAACGGCCCAGCTTGCTACTTTCTTCACCCATTTAGTGCACAAAACCTTTGCACAGCCAATATTGGATTACTCCTCTCCAATTCTATTGTTTTAAATGCACAATCATCATTTATCGAATTATTGACTATGTCTAAAAAAGACCCATCAACACCCATGATCCTAGAGAGTTCGCTAAAGAACCTCTATTTAGTGATGAAGGATTTTGAAGGAAGATTTGACTTTTTATGCCATGCTCAAATTTTATGAATGTAATTGTGGTCGCATATATTATTTATGTATAACCATTGATCGTTTACAAGATATTCCTATATAGGCCATTAGTTCAATAAATCTCACTCAATTCAAATTTTGATTAACTCTCTCTACAGTAAACCTTCAAATCCTCCTCTTTAGACTCACAATAGGGGCTAAATTCAACCAAAGTTCTAAGTACAAATCAACCAACCTATGCTCCCTAGCAAATCAAGGCATCCTCACTCCCAAACAAATTGCAAAATAATCTTATATGGTCTTACAAACCTAGTATGACCCATCCTTTCCAAGGAGGATTAAGAATCTCCACTAGTGAGCAGAGCACTAGAATGTCATGGAGCCTATTAAACCTAATGTCTCCGAGGTGGATTAATGGTCCTATCTTTCAAGTGGAGCATTGAATCCTCTCCTTTCTAGTCTCACATGGCTCTTATCCAAGATTGTCAAAAATCTTAGAGACTTAATTTCTTCTAGGACCTGCCAAAAGAATCAAGAAATCATCATAACCTCCAAAGTCACCCCCTTCAAGCTCATTGTCTTATGTCTCCTCTAAGCTAGAAACTATTTTGCTCCCTCCAAGCCTAGCCTCTATTATTATCTATGATACCTATATTTGTTGCTTATCACCACCGAAGTCTTCAAACTAGCCTCTATAGCCCAATCTAGCATACTTACTGAGTTGCTCAGAGCAAATAGATCTAACCACGTAAGTGTTAACATTAGTTAGTTACCCTTTATAATAAGACTTACAAAGTGTTTTACCTAAATTGCAATTTTAAAAAGATACTCTAAGCAAGTTCATGGTGTCCTTGAAATAAGAGGGAATTCAAACCTAGCCAGGATTTCATAAAGACCTTACCCTCTTAGGGCTGAAGCCTTACGAAGATTTTTAAGAGGCATGTTCTATCATATCAACCACCTTTGACAGATAATCTTCAATGGGTCAATGAAGCTTACCAGTTCCAAACTAACGTTGTCGAAGGAGCGAAGTCGAACAGCGACGAAGAAGAGGAACAGCGACGAAGAAGAGCTCGTGCAAAGCGAAGTAAGAAGCCGAACGAAATAGAAAAGGAAAGGCAAAACCTAGACTCCTCTAAATTTGTCGAATAACTTAATTAATTTAATTTAAAATATTAATAATTAAGTGAAATTAATTAATTAGATTATTAATTAAATAGTTAGTTATTTCAAAATAATTAATAGAATCAAATATGATTTTGGATGAAAATAACAATTCTCTTAGTCATCTTAAATATTTAATTGAATTGTTAAATAATTACACATGATTTATTAAGATTTATAATGAATGTTACCATACAGTTTTTCAGGATATAATACCTCTATAATTTTATAAATCCAGATTTAGAGGATTTATGAAATCATACTTAAATTAAATCCTTAGTGCATCCAAATAGCCCCTAAATCCCATTTACTATCCATTTTGCCTTAAATCCCGAATTTAGTACATCTGATAGTTAGACATAATTATGGGATTTAGTCGAGGAAGCGCGCGAAAGGGGAGAAAGATCATTATCTTCATGGCAAGCACCCGTCATGAATTTTGATCCGACAGGAAGAACGCTTTAGCGACTCTTTCAAAACTCAACTTGACACATGTGAATCATGTGGCGACGAGGAAAAGCAAACTCTAGACAAGTCTAAAGCTCTAGCAAGAGACAAAAAATACCACAAAGCATAAATTAGATCTAATTATAAAAAGAGCATGTCCGCTTAAATATCTTAACATTTAATTTAGAAAGAATACGGAGAACTGAATTCCGCATTCAAGTAAATGAAGAAAAATGATTTTTATGCTTCAATAGAAATGATTTCTAGTTTCAATAGAAACCATATAACTATTTTCTGGTTTCTGTAGAAATTGAAAAATCGTATTCTGATTTGTATCGATACTGGAAAAACGTTTTCCTTTATTCGTATTTCGTTAAATCTTTTAATCGTATCCATTTATTACCTCTTAATATTGCGCTAATGTCTTCCAATTATTTGAATTCTTGGTATTCTCTTCCGTGATAGCCAGCTGCACGTCAATCACTAACCATTTATTATTTCCTTTCTCTAAAATTTTGCGCATGCAAACAAACAGTCGGCCAATGAACTCAATATAGCCATTATGTGTTTATTGGCCTATAGCAACACCGAAGAGCAATATAAATTTTGTGGAGAGTCAGATAGAGTTTGATGTAGAGCAGAAATTCTAAAGAAGAAATTTGAGTCCTTTTCTTTCAGCAGTTAAGGTATTTATTTTTATGTCTAAATATTAATACCTATACATAATCAAATTATATCGTAAATAGCTACTCAATTGGATCATTCCCTATTCCATACCCTAAAAATAGAATAAAAAATTACAATGAGCTAAAATAGCTCAGTAGGCCATAAATATTGTTCTAAATTTCTAAATATTTTTTTAATTAAACATTCACTAAGTATTAAAGTAGAACTAAGAAAACAAAATTAAATGTAGTTATAAGAACTTTTGGCAAAATACACAAGCACTTCATATATCCTTCTCAACAAAGTTCAATAACTTTGGCCTTATGCTTCCCAATAGATAGGGTTCAATAAATTTGAGCCAACATACAAAGTTCAAATAACTCTGAGTAATGAACAAAGTTCAACAACTCTGAGTAACATACAAAGTTCAACAACTCTAACTAACATATAGAGTTCAACAATTCTAATTAATATATAGAGTTCAATAACTCTTAAGTAGAATATACTTATATTACCATAACAGAACTTTCTCTACCCCTTTCAAATATCTTCTACATAATCACTTATTTCAATCAATTAGGCACATATTTCAATGCATGAAAGTGATTAATGAGTAAATAAAGACATTTCATAATTTTCCAAAATATTATAAAGGCAACAAAAAACTCTCCCAAGCAAAAATACACATTTTTAAAAAATAACCAAATTACCAGATATCATGTAGAGCATTTTTTAAGACTTTAATTATAATACAATCTTATTATAGAAAGCTCAAATCATTTTTTATTCAATAAAACTCACATATATTTCAAAACTCTTAGTGTAAAATTTTCATAAAAATATTTAAATATTTTGAATCTCATTCTATATAACATACCAAAATTTATGTGGTGAAAATTTTATCAATGCAAAGTTATCCTCATTTTTTTGTATCATGAATGTAAATTTAATTGGAAAATATGGAAAAACTTATTATTTTTGAAAACTGAGATAGGCAGTGTGACCAACCTTGATCCGGACAACTTTCTAAATTGGGTTAACGATAAATGATGACCTGAAGGGCTCAAAACTCATATTTTTCTCTCTAAAAACACATGTTTCTCTCACTTGTTTGGCTTCTCAGGGAAAAAAAACGGAACAAAATAATAGATTTGGATATTTTTAAGTACAAAAAATGGCCCAGCACCTAAGCGCTCCGAGTGCTGGTGCTCCAATGCGACAAAGAGCACAATGCTATGCACCAAAAAACACAACAACTCAATGCTTTAGGGGAAATGTTTTCATATTTCACAAACATACATTCAAACCCCTGATATCCACTCCAAAATACATTCGTATCTTTTTCATACATATAGATCATTTTCAAAATTATGCCAAAGAGTTCAAACACAAAAATTCAATATATTACCTAACTTCTAATCAGATCAAACCAATTTGAATAGTACTATGATCTTGAGGGTGTCACACAAAGCTACTACAATTACTACTTTCCATTGGCCTTTTTCTGATAATTGAGTTGTACGATCTTGTTTTTCTACACATGACAAAAAAATACAATTATTATAAGTAGTTATAAAAAAATAATTATTAAAATTTCTCTAAACATTTCGTATTTGTATTTGCTGAAATAAAATATAGCTCATCATAATGATATTTTACATTATTAATGTTATAGATACAAAGAAGATAGTTAAGAAGATAACTTGAGACATATTTAGAAGTTTGCCAAATGGAATATGGAATTTCTATTTGAACCACAAACACTTAAGCTTATTACTATTAAGCTTTAGTAGTTTATAATCAATTCTTTTTCTCCTCGTATTATTATTTTATATATGCACTTTTTTATTTTCTTTGTAATTGATTTGATATGTATGTAATTTAGCATAAATATACAAAAAATAATAATATGATGTGCATATTACTGGTAGAGTTAGCTTCCTAACAATGGATAGCTTGAATTGTGATTTCATGTTTTCTTGATAACTCTAAAATTTTCAATTCAATTTATCACACTTATAAACCAATTAATAGCCACTCATGTAGGTTACAATCTTCTCCTCGGAATGAGGCCAACACCTAACATTGAACAAGGTTTACATCATTATGTGTGGTTATCTTTTGGCTTATCAATCTTTTCTAAAATATCTATCCCACGTATTGTTACTATCCCTACTACTCTTATATTGTTCAATATAGGGACTTCTAATGCTTTCATTACTTCTAAAGGGGACTTAAGATCCAAGAAGATGATGAATAAAATATAGAGTGCAATAATTAAAAACAATGGCAATGAAATGACATGCAAATCCAATTTGGCATTTAATTTTATTATACGGAAGAAGAACCTACCAAGATAATATGGAAGCCCTCTCCACTACCCAAGGCTACAAATGCCTATGTTAATGGTGAAAATTATGTAAACAATTCTCCCACAACCCTAAATGATTGAGGATCTTATTTTTCATTGAAGGATTTTGTTCCTAAATGTAGTGTAATAAATATTATTATTATTGTTATGAATAAGGGAAAAAAGTATATACAAACCCATCTAATAATCCAAATAATTAGAGGACTAGGAATCTCCTAAGCTTATTGATGCCTCTTTGACTGATTATGGAGACAAAGAAAAAAATGAATATATTATTAAACTACACTAGTAGATTGGCTAAATGGTCACAATTATGACTGCTCTATCCTCCCAAGTAGATTTAAAATATTAGGGGACCTTTGCATTTAATGATGTTAGTTTAATGATATGGATTGAATTGGATTAAAGTTATGCTTATTTAATGCATATATCTTAACATTATATGTTATAATGTAAAGGTTATGCTAGGTCATTATAACGAGTGGTCCAATTTAAGAAGGAATCGGGTTTCCTTCAAATGAACTCTGTTAACTATAAATAGAAGGCTAGCTTGATCATATTGATCTTATATGTAGCTAATACTTATATTGACATTTATTTCATCCATCTCACACTCCCTTTATAAATTTGTCTAACCGCATTCACTTAGATGTCAAATGCACCTAGCTCACTTAAATAATGCCCTAATTTACTTGGATTAGATATCAAATTCATATAAAATGGAAAAAGGTTACCATGTCCAGATTAAACTCACATGTGTGTTCATATTAGTGTGAGAAACCCCATCATGGGTTAATTAATGTAGCATAAGTATGGTTGTGATTAAATTAATATTCGATACACCAATTAAGACCAAACACAATCTTACATAAAACACAACAAACATTATCCATTGTGTAAAACCCAAGTCTAGCCAAGTTAAATCCTTGGACCTCAAATAGCCTAATTGGTTTATCAAGCCCTTCATTATGTCAATTAGGAATCATTTAAGCCATTTTTTGCTCATGGACCATACTTAACCCTATTAGCTCAACCCCGAGTTAAGGTTAGTCAACCTAGTTAGCCATTGTGCCTTATGTTAGCTAGACATAAACCCTAGCCTCAATCTCAACCCAAATGAGCTAAAATCACCTTAAATTAGTTAAGCAAGTCCTAAAAGAACCCCGGAGGACCAAGAGAAGAACAAGATAATGATCATAAGAGTTAGGGATATTACACAATATGATTATGACGAAGAAGTTAGAATACAAAAATAGTTTTAGTTTTATATATGAAAGGTGATTTATCTTAACAATTTAATGAAGGATTATGATGACTTTTATAATGCTCTTACAAAATTGGCTTTGCTTAATTTAATTTTATTTAATTAAATTTTAAATTTAAATCAAACAATCCTATGTAAAATGAGTCAAATAATTTGATTTTAATTATTTACCTTCATTTTTTTTTTTCAAATTTGTTGTGGATTTACATATATACCACATAATACTCATTTATTTGCATAGATAAAGCTAAGTAGTTATATTTATTTACATATCACCAAATCTTTATTACACTTTAAAACCTCCACTTGTTAATAATCTCAAACTTCTTCATTAGTAGTGTCTAGCTCAATGTATTCATTAAGATTGTTGTAGTATGCTTATTGTTAAACGAAAGCTTGAATGTTAGTCTGTCGGCCCTCATTGGGTATGCACACCTTTTTGTATGCTCCATTACATTAGTTTAGTTAGCTGATCATTGAGCTAGCAAAGCTTAAGACACTCATGCAACCCATGCATATGACCACCGCTTTCCACTCCATCTTACCACCATACTAGGAGTGTCAAAATGTATTTTCGGGTCGGTTTCTTGTCAAACCCAAAACCAACCCGTCATCATATGACTTGACTTTAAATCTCTAACTTGAACACAACCCGAATTGACCTGCCAACCTATTTGACTTTTTTTTTTTTTACTTCAAAATAAACTAATTAAAATTGAGCACTATAACTACAACGCATATTAGAAAGCAAAAAACTACTCAAACCAACATACAAAAGTTCACAACTTAGTAAATCATCAACTCATTTTGCATTCTACATGTATTCACTACACCAATTATGCATAAACCAACAGAAACAAACCCACAACAACAAATTAAAGTAAACAAACCCACAACATCCAGCTAAATGGAAAATAGAGTAATGATAATAGCATTCAACATTTCAACAACAAAAAATATGAAACCAACCCAACAAGGCAGCAAATAGGCAACCCAGCTAAGTGCAACATTTCAAGTTTCAACCAATAGAAATCCATTTCAAACCATAAAATAACAAGATAAATGTATAAAAAAAAAAACAAACAAACAAAAGCCCTAATTTCAATCTCAACTAGCCAACTCAACCTCCATATAATCCTTAGTTGAAACCCCTAAGTAGAGTAGGCAAAGAGATTAAAGATACAAAAAAGTGTAATTTTTGAGCTTCCACTGAGATGCGACCTTCAATAGCTACTGCATAAATTATGAAATAATACTCAGAAGGTGGACGCCAAGGCAAGAACGAAGAGGTAAACCATAAACAAAAGAGCTAACGAGGTTGAGAAGAGAAATGCAACATAATGTCTACAAAAGTCACATAATGAATCAACAAATGAACTCGGAACTCAAAAGAGAATGAGAATGGAAGAGCTAATTAGCCGAAGAGGTGAATTGGTTAATAATGGAAGAGCTGGTTAGCAAAAGTTACAAAATGAATCAACGAACAAACAACGCATTAACACATAGTTACTCGAACCGCACGAGTTCATAAGTCATTTTTGAGTTTCTGGGTCAACCTGAACTCGACCCAGTTTTTGAAACGAGTTGGTATGTTGAACCTGAATCTGACTCGTATGACAAACGAGTTGACTCAAACCCGAAATTTTATAAGTTGGGTCAAGTCTTAACACCCCTAGACCATACCTAGGCTCCCATGCTTAACACACATGCATGTGAAGCCCCCCTAACACTTATTTTAGTATCATGTCCTCATTTTGCATCTATTGTATGACACCTTACATAGGCTCATTCCTGCATATGCATGTTATTCTCTATCCATGCACAATATGTACATGTGTGCTTTGTATATCCACCTCCTAGTGCTATAAATAGAGTCAAGACAGCTCATGAGTCTACTCAAGCTTGGCTAATTATTGTGAGCCAATCTTGATTTGACTTGTTGGCTAGCGAAACAATTCATTTAAAAATATTAATATAAATATATTAAGTAAATGATGTTAAATATTTAAAACTATAAATATATTCCTTATTTCAAGTGATTTATTATTATTGTTCATCTACTATTTTATTTTTTATTATTTTATTATAATAAATATTTTAGTTAGAATCCTCATATTATCTCTCATAATATATAAGCCATTTCATGTGCCAATTCAGACTCATATAATTAAGCTTGAGCTTAACTCGAAATTCCATTAATTAGTTAAGTTTAAGCTCAAATGGGGGGTACCTAGACTACTCTCAACTTTCACAACCATAGATGTGTGATGCCTCATAATCTAATTTAGAAAAATTATTTTTTTATCTTTTAATAAATAACAACCATAGCTATCTAATATCATCCATCAGTAATAAATAATAAAATAGATTATACAATTCAAACCATCAATATACATAATTGTATTCATTCCCAAAAATTATATATGATACTTAATATCTACACAATCATATTATAATTATTCTATCCCGAGTATAAAAAAATAATTAAAAGAAATAGAACTTGAAGAATCCTAACCAGTCTCACACTCCTACTCCCTTGCCCTAATCTGAAATCATTTGACCACATATAATAAGCTTACAAAGCTCAGCAGGTCACCAAAACCTACAACTGAATTTCAAGCACGGTAAATGAGCAATATGCATGTCAATAGTCAAATCATAACACTAGCATTTATATGATCATTAAATCAGTGCAAAAGTAGTCAAATTCAAATGCGGTAGTAGTACAAATATTAAAACCCTATATTACTAAAGCCAATAAAATAGTAAAATAGTTTGACTGTCAAATCTTTAAAGCAATCGTCATACATGTAATATCAATTAATATAAAAATTGTATAAAGTATCAAATAAAAAACATCGATAAAGACTGTCGAAATCATGTCAATATAATAAAAATCATATAAGAGTGTATTCATGCTAACCATGTATTATATATCATATGCTCAATATATCACATGCATAATATATGTATAATGAATCAATAATATCAGTATATAAATTGGTAACAATAATAATTCAATGGCAGGATCAGTAGAATAATGTAATAACAATAAATTTATGTAGTAACAAAAATATTAATAATAATAAAAATAATGTCTCAAGAATATGCATTTCAGTAGTCACACCAAACAAGTAAGAAGTCCTAGCTATCATAGTGTTTTTTCAGTATTAATAAACTGTTAGCTAAGTAAATAGAGTCGCCACTATTTGTCTGCCGTCACAGTAATAATCTCTTTATAACTCCAAATCAATGTATCACATGAATTAGTAGAGGATAACACTAAACCACATTATTTAATGGAAAGCCAGTCAGCTCACCATCATGTACATGTCAATCAGTCTCCAACTAACGGGTCAACTGGTCTTTGCTTGTTTGTTTCACACATGCATATTATTATCACAATACTATAATAATAATAGCAACCAACTATTACTCAAGCACATATTCACATCCCTTTTCAATGCATTACAATAAATAATACATAATCAAACTTAATTAAGTAGATGTCAAAATATTATAACGGTAGACAACAAAGAATCCTATTATTTTCAAAAAATTAACAAATTATCAGAGATTATGTAAAATGATGTAAGACTTTTATTGTAATACACAAGTATTTTTAGAGGTCAAAATAAATTTTGGGGTGTACAACAATAGTTGTATTTTCAAAATCACATCATGAAAAATCTCAAAAAAATGCTCAAAACATTCATAATCTCGATCTCTATAATATAGAAAAAGTTATGCAGTGAAAGTTTTGCCAATACAAAGTTATTTATATTTTTTTTATAACAAAAAATACAAATTTGATTAGAAAAATACAAAAAATATAAAATATTTGAAATAAAAAATAAGGTAAATGTTTCTTACAGCTAGACGAGCAATTTTCATAACAGGCTTGACAAACAAAAATCACTCTGCGGCCTTCAAATCTGGATTTCCTTTTTTTTCTCTGTTACTTTACTCTTTCCATTCTCTGTTAACCGTTTGCTTAGGGAGAAAGAAAATGATTTAAAATGGTTTAATAATGCTTTTTGATATTTAATCTTTAGTATAAAATTAAAATAAATTATTTTTAGACTTAAAAAGTTATAAAAAAATATTCATAAAATAAATCAATTTATTTAAAAAATAATAGTGAAATTGATTTGCAAAACGAATACATGACGATCCCAAAATTCTCACTTGTACCGATATGTATCAATTTTATAAGAATTTTTACTGATGCCAAAATTTTTTTTAAAAAAATTATGTAAGTCAAATACTACTATTAAAATACTATGACGAGAAGACGGTTTAAGATTTGAAATTATAATGACTCCAAAAAAAATTAACGAAGTTAAAATATGGACTATTACAAGATGCCAATGGGAAGAAGATAAATTTAAAGTTATTAATGTAGTAGGTTTTTTGATATTTTATATAGCCGCAAATATTAGACATTTAAATTTATGAGGATTAAGTGAGTAAACCCAAATCGCCTGTTTTCGGCTTGTTTTCTTCTCCAGTTTTCTTCAGCTCGTCTCTCTCTAATCCATGCTCGAAACTGCTCCAATCCTCATGAAGATCCACTATTGAAGGCCGTATAGAATGCCGTCCAAGGACCGAGTAGCGTATTTCTATGACGGTAATTTCGTTTCGTCCTTCGGTTAGCGTTTTCTGTATCATTCTATTGAAGCAACAGCTGCCAATTTTCCCTTGAAAGAGTGATTAGTTTGCCCAAACGTTACGTCCTAGCTGGTGACCTACACAAGTTTATGGAATTGTTTTTCTTATTTTGTATTTATCTTTGTTGCTGTTGGTTTGGTCAGGGTAACTGGTTTGTTGGTGAAACCCTAATTAACCAAAAAGATTCGTTTCTCTTATGATCCAATTTGTTCGAATTTCATTTTTGATGATTTGACTTAATATCTACTGATATTTTACGTTTAGCTATGTTAATGATGGGTACATTGAAACCTAGTTTTAATTTGACGGAAAGAGCAAACCCTTCATATTTTATTGTTTATTAGGAGTTATTAGAAGAGGATATTCAACAAAGGTGGTGAGATATTCTGCCAAATTTTGTAATAAAGATTGTGAGAATACGATTGACTTTAGTAACTTAAATGAAAATAAAGATTTTTGTTTTTATCGATGTATTAGTAAAACCGAAATTAGAGATGCTTTAAAGAAAATGAAGTGTGGAAAAACTGTTGGACATGATGATATTCCAATAGAGGAGTGAAAATGCTAGGAGATGAAAGAATTTTTTCGCTTATCTCATCCACGAGATATAGAATCTTCACATTGAAATCATCACCACAATAAGCATCAATACATACATATTTGCATTCACGATTCCAATACAAAAGGGTACAACAACTACCAATTTCAAATGAGATCAGATGATAGTTTGGTGGAACTGATTCAACTACCCACTTCATTTCTCCTTCCTATTAGGAGCTATGAAATTAGTGTGATCACTCATATATTTTATGCTTCATTTATATAAGAGGAGTATAGAGCTTTTTTTGGGAGATCAAACAAGAAAATGAAAAGGATGAATTAAGAAATGTGAATTAATTTTTGATATTATTTTGAAGGCTAAAAAGATGTTAAATAAGTGGAGATGAGTGTGTAGATTCCTATTTTTAAGAATAAAAGTTATGCACAAGATTGTGCAAATTATGGAGTAATTACATTAACGTGTCATACTTTAAAACTATGGTAGAGAGTTATGGAGCATAGTTTGAGGCTTGATACTAATGTTTCTCAAAATCAATTTAGATTCATGCCTGGTAGGTCTCCTATAGAAGGTATGCATTTATTGAGAGGTTTGATGTCGAAGTATATAAAGAATAAAATGGATATACATATGATATTTATTGATTTAAGAAAGTATTTGATAAAGTTCCAAGAGAAGTGATAAAATGCTTATATTCAAGTCATTAAGGATATGTATGCAGGAGCTGCTACTTATGTTCAAACACAAGGTGGTTTGACCAAGTATTTTTCTATTTAAGCTAGATTACACCAAGGATCAACCTTAAGCCCCATATCTTTTTGCTTTAGTCATGGATGTTCTCACTAGACATTTGCAAGAGGTTGTACTGTAGTGTATGATTTTTGCTGATGATATTCTTCTTGTTGATGAGACCAGAGAGGGAATTAAAGGTAAACTTGAATTATGGAGGTCAACCTTAGAGTCTAATGACTTTCGTTTGAGTAGATCTAAAACTAAATATATATATATATATATATATATATATATATATATATATAGTATAATTTTAGCAATGATAGGTGTAGTGGGGGGATTATGACTTTGGGCGATCAATTCATTAATAAGAGTACACGTTTTAGATAACTTGGGTCAACTGTTCAGAGTGATATTGAAATAGATGGGGATACTATTAGTAGAATTCAAGCTGGTTGAAGTGGAGAAATGCATCGGGCTTGTTGTGTGATAGAAAAGTCACTCTCAGACTTAAGGGAAAATTCTATAAGATTGTGGTGAGATCTGCAATGCTTTATGGTGCATAATGTTGTCCATTGAAAGAGAAGCATAATAGTAAGTTAAGTGTTGTAGAGATGACTATGCTCAGGTGGATGAGTGACTTTCCTCTTAGAGATATTATATGAAATGAGCATATACGTGAAAAGGTTGGAGTAGTTCCAGTGGAAGATAAGATTAGAGAGAGTCACCTTAGATGGTTTGGTCACATAAAGCGGCGGTCTTCCGATGCCCCGATTAGGAAAGTATACTTATTAGATTTGACTTATGTTAAAAAAGGTAGAGATATATCTAAAAATACTTGGTTAGAAAATATTAAAAATGACATTTCTTTTTTAGATTTAAATGAGAATTTGACTCTTAATATGATACAATGGAGAAAAAAAGATTCATGTAATCGACCCCACATAGTGGGATAAAGGCTTGATGTTGTTGTGGTTGTATCAGAAGTTATTTTGTAACGACATTTGTTTTATTGGTTAGCTGAAGTTTTGTTGAACTCTTGCAGGAGAAATGGCTTGGTGCCTTATGACCAAGTTTCTATTACTTGTCAATGGCCTTGTCATAGCAAGTCGTAGTTATGCCATTAGTTGTGAGTTTACATGAGAAATTGATTAAATTATGTAATAGTTAGTTTATGGATTCAATTTAATAGTTCTTTCATTTTTGTGGGGCACATTCCATAATTATGCATGCTATGTGGATTACATACCATTGTAGACTTTTTTAAATTGATACTGTGGAGCAATGAAAATGAATTATTGTAAACAATTGTTTAATCGACAAAGTAGAAAAAATATAATGAGGGTTATTTTTGATTCCTTAAACCCATTTGTAGATTGTTCCTTGTAGTTTATATGGTTCTATAATATCTACTTTGACCTATAAAATAAAAATACTTCTTTGTTTTTACCTTTTTTAAAATGTAAACATTAAATTGGCCAATCATGTTAAAAAACAACTTTTGTAATGTTGACCCCTTCGTCAGAGCACGCGAAACCGAGTAAAATCGGTGGATTAAGTGACTCATGCGTTGGTGCAACTCATCACTTGAAGGGCTAAACGACCACCGATTGCCAAACGGATTGCACCGTTGCAATCAGGACGTCGAATTTGCCAAAGAGGGATCCTCTCGCAGTCAAATCGGACTAGATTGGTCAAAACGGACGACCGACACCCAAAATTGATGTGCGACGTTTCCCAAACGACGTCCTAGCACAAAACATACATAGCCATTGCATTCGGAGCTCCGCCAATACCCAAGAATGACCACGAATTAGTTCAAAGGAACTCGCTTAAGGAAATTAATGTAATCAAAAGATACAGGGAGCCTATATCTCCTGATCACAAAAGACACGACGGACTTCTAAGGACGAAAATGACAAAATAGGAGAGAAGAGACGAACAAACTCTTACATTTCAAATTAAACTAAACAAAAGAAAACTTTCAACAATACAAACGACTCAATAAAAAAAATGACGACACCCTAAAGTTGCTTCACTTAGAGAAGAAGGATACAGGTGGAGTGGCACTTGCGGAGAGACGAAAGAGATTAGAAGCCCGAGAAGAAAGGTTGGAAAGAGCCCGCAAGATTTCCGGAGGGGATGAGAAAGAAGGGTGGAAAGAGCCCGCAGGATTTCCAAGCAACCCACAGGTTAACAGATTTTTTTCCAAAAATCAAATATCATTCAACTTCAACTATTTCAAACAATACATAACCCCTCATATTTATAGGTATGAAAGGAGAATACAAAAGGACACATACATAAATTCTAACACATAAAATTAAGCATTAAAAAGCATAGGAATCTCCCCCTCATGCTCACGGTTTAACACCCAAACCAGGAACCAAGGAGACAGCCACGGGAGACGAAGGAACCGCACGGACCAAAGAGCCACGACCACGGGAAACGAAGGAACCGCACAGACCAAAGAGCCACGGTCACGGGAGAAGGAGTCCAACCGTGAGATCCCAAGAGGCAAACATAAAAAACTTAAAACCTTGGTGGAAACCAAGGGTCATACATAGGAATACTAAACACCACACTTGGGATTCCAAAAGTCCCATTGGAAACCCAAAAGACTATAACATAAAAAACCTAAAAACATTTAATTAAAAGACAATAAATGAACTAAAATGTTAGCTCATAATGAGCTAACCCTTAGTTCAATAAATGAACTAAAGTCCAGCTCATAAATGAACTAAAAGTTTAGCTCAAATATGATGAACTACTAGACTCAAGGGAAGCCAAAATTTGATTTATTTTGTGTTGACCCCCCCTTTGTCTACATCAGAAATCGACACGAGTTCTGAGGAAACGATGTGCAAATCGAGGAAATTGACATACGACATCGTCCAAAAAAAGTTCGATTGCAAAATGGTATTTGCCGTTGCGTTCGGAATGTCAACAATTGTCAAAATGGACTGTAATTTTGTCTCGCTGCGAAATTGACGCGCATTCTGAGGGGAAATGTGCGAATTTTGAGAAAATGCACGCAAATAAAAAAAATCTCCTACAATGTCTTATTAGCTATAAATGCTAGCTTGAGTGTCCTGAATTTCTATATGAATTATAAAAGGTGAATAAATATCAAAACTGGATATTTCAGTCTTTTAAATGGAGGAAATTAAATTTTATTTAACTAGATGTATGCATAAGAATACCAACAGGAATAATGGAGACTGCTCGTACGCATTTAAGCTGATGTTCAGTAACACCTAGGCCGTTGAAGGTGATGACACATATTGATAGTTGATTATATCACATGTGATCGAATTTTCAACAGGGCTGGTGATATTTATTTTATATCCATTATTGTGTACCATATATATGATGTCATATGAACAATTCCTTATCTTTTATATGTTTCTTAAAGTTTGCAGCTTTAAAATCTTCTTATAGAGATGAATATTGTGATGATCAGTTAGGATCATACTGATTTGCACTCCTCTTGCAGGGGATGTGGGCAATGTTTATTTTGGACCAAACCATCCAATGAAGCCACATCGTCTCTGTATGACACATCATCTTGTTCTCTCATATGAACTTCACAAGAAGATGGAAATATATGTTAGTTTCGAAGAAGCATAGTTTTTACTGTTTTTTTAATGTGGCTTGAATTATGGTATATATTTTATTTTATTTTATGCAGAGGCCACACAAGGCATATCCCGTCGAGCTTGCCCAGTTCCATACAGCAGATTATGTGGAGTTCTTGCATCGAATTACACCAGACACACAACATTTGTTTGCAAATGAATTGGCACAATGTATGAATTGGAAATACTCGAGGCTGATTTCTCCATATATAAACGAGTAACTTTAATTTTTAGAGCATATTTTTATTCGCCTTTGTGATGTGTTCATTTCATAGATTTTAATGTATATTGAATCTGGTTATTTTACCTAGAATTAACTGATTTTTTAAAATCATTATCTTTCTTGAGATTTAACAGAATATAGGTTAAGTTAGTTGAAATGATCAATGGCATTGCAAGAGTGGATTATTATTTCCTTGGAAGTAATGAAATATGTTCTTTTAAGGAAGAGTATCGAAACGAGTTGTTAACATTTTGGCCTTTAGATATCTTTTTCTTAATGACGAGAATCCTTTCTCATTCTTGTTCAAACGATTTGCATGTTTGTAGGTTTGTCTGTTATTATCAAAAACTTATGACTAACCGGTTGCCAAAAGTCAATTAGATCTTAAAAATTGATATAATAACCAATAATGCTTGGACATCGCATTGTTTTCAAAGTGTTATGAGCAATGCGATGCACAAGTCTTTTTTTTTTTCATGCATCAACACGCAAAGTGCATGACGAAGTGACACGCACACACGCGTGTATACAAGCATATATATATATATATATATACACACATATAATGGTTATTTATTAGTTAATAAAACTTCAAGCTGCGGTTTAAAATTGCGCAATGTGAGGCTCGCCTTGAGGCCCGCCTTTGCGCAATTCCAGTAAAAAACGCATCGATACTTACACATCGAGTTTTTTTTTATGAGGCTTGCGCCTCAACTTAGTTGAGGTACGCCTTGCCTCACTGGCATGAGGCTTACGCCTCACGCTATATATATTAAAACTTACATAAATCTTGAAGTAAATGCCCGACATTGGACTCTATAGGAGAGGAGGAAGGGGAGAGAGCAGTTCATCATAATGATGATTCAAATGAAGAATCCCTTAGTGATGACAGTGTTGATGACTTATTAGTTCTTATGTGATATGTCATTGATATTTATTTTTAGAAATTTGAATTATATGTTAATGAAAAGAATATTTGGATTTGGGAAAGATAGAATTTTGAGTTGAATTATATTTCATGTTGTCTTATTATTGAGATATTTTGATTTCACTTCATATCTTATGATTTTTTATATTTTATATTATTCACTCATTAGTATATAAAAAATTTATCATTTTATGTTTACGCAATCTTTTGATTTTGAGGCTTACGCCTCGCCTCAATACCCGAATACGCAATTTTAAACATTGGACTGTTCAAGCACATCACGTAATAATACTGATTAATATAATGATATTCAATAATAATTTTTTCCTATGTTTTGAAAGCAAAAAAACTCAAAAATAAATTATTAAGTGATGAAAAAAGATTTAAAAATCAAGAATACTCATAAGATTAAAGGATTAAGATGCAAATGAGACGTCGACTTATAGAGGATGCATAAAGAAGAATTCTCAGAAGAGGCTTATGAGCAGAAAGGCGAGGATTAGTAGAAGTATATAAGAAAACTAGCGAGCGAGCTAAGAAGAATCATTGATTAATTCCTTGTGCACATGCTTAATTGAATGAATTAATTCTAATTAAAATAGGTCCATGCTTGGTTAGCTTACTAAGGCAACAATGAGGTAGTTTTGTGAAGTTACACTCTTTCCTACACTGATGTGGCTGGCCCCTTGCTCCCTCCTTTTCCCTCCTTTGTGCATGATGTAATGTTGTAACTATTTAAGCATGATGGAATGAAGAAGAAATCATTGTGTTTGCAAGATTTTGGGTTCCATCTAAATGGAGGATTGGCGGCAAACCCTCACTTGAAGATGTTTGTTTATCTCTTCAATCTTGCTACTTTGATGAGCAGCAAGTTTTTTGTAACTTTATTTATTTTACTATATAACTCTTCTATAATCATCGTATCACCATCTCATAATCATTTCCTAGCATTCTTCCCACAAAGCCTCACCTAAAAAGCTACTTGAAGCTGTCGGACTAACTTAGATTGAATCTAACCTTGTTGGATTCTATCCCTAATTTGATCCATCAAAAATCATTGGAATTTAATGCAAATATCCATAATTGTTCTTAAGACACTCCCCTTCTATCTCCAAGCATTTTCAAGTCTTTGAAAGCCCACCAATTGAAGCCCTAAAAGCCTAAAGTTCACTTGTTAGTTTAAAGCAAAAAATTCCCGCACCCTTAATCACTTTATAATTTTATAGAATTTGAACGCGACTCCATTCTAACCCTTCATAAGGCCTACGCATCATCCCTAATATATTTTGGAAGCCTTCCAAGGCTATAATAGCAGCTTATTAAGGGCTAACACCATAGTTTATCTACACTTTAACCATTTCCTGTTTTAGTAGGCTTCTTTTAACCGTTTAAGACCATACGATGCACCTAGAGTCAATGGATTGAAGATTATATTTATCTTGTCCTTCCACAAGTTAAAAGCCATTCCATCCAATAGAAGAGGGTATAATATATTTTTTTGGAATGATATTCCAACTAATTGTTGTGCCATGGATCTTTCTTATGAGTGTTAATAATAGCAATGAAAATCTTATTGTGATACCAATGTATAGGAATTTAAGCAAAACCCTGGAGGGGAGAGGGGGGGGGGTGAATTTGGTTAAAGCTCTTTAATATTTAATCCATTCAAATAAGAAATAAAGTATTTACAAAATAAAAATAAAATAAAGGAAGGCATAGAAATATAAAGTGTGGTAAATGAAATTCATGTCATAGATTCTGTAGTATTTTGACCCAAACTCGATTTACAAGCACTTTCTGATGTAGAACAGGAAGGGAAAGAGGGGTTGGTTAATTAATTTCCCTAAGGGGATGTCCAATTGGGGAATTAATTAATTAAGGAGGGAGAGAGAGGGAGAGGCCAAAGAGAGAGGGGAAGGGAGTGGTCCATATTCAATGAATGTGGAAATTCAATTCCCAATCAATTTCAGATTTAATCACTTTTGATTAAGGGAAGACCTCCAAAATTAAATTAAATGATTTAGGAAAGAATTTGAAATTTCAAATTCGTTTGAATTTGAAATTCAAAATTGACCAAAATTAAAACCACTTAATTTAGGAAATAATTCAAACTCAAATAGGATTTGAATGCTGAATTTTGAATTGAGATTTTAATGGGAGGAATTAATGTGTGTTAATTGGATTGGAGAGAGAGGGGGGGCCGGCCATGCAAGAGGGAATTTAATTGGAGATTTGAAACCTTTCCAATCATAGAATATTAATTAAGGAAAGAAATTTAGAGAGGAATATCTAATTAATTTCAGATTTAAAAGGATTGAAAAGTTTTCAAATGAGATCAATTTTATTTTAGGAAAGGATTCAAATTCAAAATCCTTCCTAATTAAAGATTATCCAAATTAGGGGGGGGGGGTGTGCAAATGAGGGGGGGGGGGGGCAATTAATGCTGCTTTGATTGGAGTAATTGATTTATTCTTTTAATTAGAATCTTAAATTAGGAAATGGATTAAAGACCTTTCAAAATTTAAAATTCAAAATTAAGAGATAAGAGGGAGTTGTGTAATTAATTCAAATTAACGAGGGAAATTCAAATCTCAAATTAATTTGAAATTCCCAAATTGCTTTGAATCAAATTAGGAAAATAATAAGAAGATGATTGGAAAGTGGCACCTTGGAGAATTGGTGGGGTGACCGGTGGCAAGGCTAGGGTGCTTGGCCGGCGGGTATGGAAAGGGGAAGGAGATTGAAGGTAGAAAGTCGGCGGCTAGGGGAAGATTTAGCCAGCGGTTAAAGGAGAAGAAGGTGAGGGATTAGAGAAAGAAAATAAACCGCGAGTCTTGGACTCTTCCAAAGATGACGGGTATTGCATTGTCCTTCACCAAGGGACTTTAACAACGAGATTGGACACATCCTGCGGTTGGTGGGTATTTCATTGCCCTCACATAGGGACTTCCACTCTCCTAAGAACTCCCATCGCTCTCAAGAATAAAGTGTAGAAACAATTTTTTTATTAATTCGTCATTCCTCTAATACAAGAGCAAGAGCCTCTATATATAGGTCTTAAAAGAAACTAAAAGACAACTTTGTCTCTTGGGCTTACATAAAACAAAACCCTTAAGTAAGGGTAAAAATGGAAAATACATAATTAAATAAAAAATACTATTAATAAACTAAGATAAAATGGAGGGATCTAAGTCGTCGATCTTTGCTTGGTTCTATTACATCACTCTCCTCCATGGCATTAATAGAGAAGATGTTTACAGAACCCTCATTCAAATGGGCAGAGATTGCCATTCCTTTTTTTAGCCTAAGGAGAAGTTCCCTTGGCATCAAACAAGCTGAGCATTAGTTGAGCTCTTTAGTGTGTTGAATCTTTCAATTGTTTTGAGCTCTTCTTTCAAGTTATCCTAGATGTATTCATCAAGCTTCAATGGTTGTAAGCATCTTATATATCCTATGAAGAACACTTAGCAAATGCATGTTCCTTATCATGAAAATATAATAGAGACCTTTCAAGGGCTCATGTGGTTGACAGTTTTTGCTTGTTAGGCTAGAAGAGTAGATTGATATTTGATATAAATAAAGTTACATGTGTTTGTTAGGATCAGAATAAAATGAAGATTTATATGAGCCCGTCTTATTTAATTGGGCTTCCAATAGCTGGAGCGCTAATGTAAGCTCAAGGTTAATTCCATTACAATTGGAAAAAGATCCTATTAAAGTAGTGTTGATGCTGGATGCTTATCTTCTTAAACTAATGTGGGATTGGTGGCTTTCTATTGATTTTTTATCTTATGCAATTGTTCATAGATTAAATGCATGGATGTTTTTCATTTAGTATAAATTGTGTTATTTTAGTCTATATATTCTTTCTCTAGATCCATATTAAAGACATTACTGAAAATCATTTTCACAGATAATCTTGGCGAGGATTGCCCTGTATTTGAGAACTTGTTTGAGTTCTGTCAAATATATGCTGGTGGCACGATAGGTCAACTCCTTAAATGAACTAACATTACCTTGCTTTATATATTTCTAACCCACATACAAACCTTGTAGATGCTGCACGAAGATTGAACAATCAACTCTGTGACATAGCTATCAATTGGGCTGGTGGATTACATCATGCAAAAAAATGCGAGGCATCAGGATTTTGTTATATAAATGACCTGGTTTTGGGAATCTTAGAGCTTCTGAAATACCATGCCCGTGTTTTATACATCGACATAGATATTCATCATGGTGATGGAGTTGAAGAGGCTTTCTACTTTACAGATAGGTATTCTTGTTTTCTATTTTGTTATTTATGCATTGAACTTGAGCTTGCGTAGTTTAAGCAACTAAAATTTGAAGCATCTTTTTTGAAAAAAGAGAAAGACAAATCTGTATGGTATTTGATTGAGCAGAGTTTGATGTTCTATGATGAGCGCTAACATTCGGTAGTATTACAGGGTGATGACTGTTAGCTTCCACAAGTATGGAGATTTGTTCTTTCCGGGCACCGGTGATGTCAAGGTATCTTTATTTTCTTTGTTGACTTTAATATTGATTGAGATAAATATCGAAGAGCAAATCTGTTATCATGCATGAGATGAATTTTGAGCCATCAGTATCATTATCAATTTGTTGGTTTTACTTAATATATAACCCTTATTCAAAACTAAGAGATTGCGGGGATCTATCTCATGTAAACTTTGGATGAAAGTTGTATGGAAAAACTAAGCTCTTTGGTTGGTTGAGATAAGAATGTATGGGCCAGACTTTTTAAGTGAGCTAGATTAAGAAGAGTAGAGATTCATGTTTACTTGGCTATCCCTGCAATAGGGTTTCTGTCTATTATATTGTTGATTAATAAAAATTTTATAATAACTAAAAAAGAATCTCTTCACGCTCCATCCGACCCCACTCGAGTGGTTGATTTTCAAGAGATGCATTGCTTTGCTAGGGTAACTTCCTTCTGGCAATTGGTCAATAAAAGGGAAAAAGAAACTGAAAAAAAAGAACTCAATCTCTTTGTTTGCATTTTCTCAAATCCTTTTTCTTATCTTTTGATTCAGTCTCCATACACCGGACCAAACGCTGGCCCTGCCTCTTGCCTCTTGCCTCCGGCTTTCTCTTCCAAACGCTCTAATTGCACCCATTCGACCGAACCTGCACGAGTGCCCGTGCCCAGCCAACGTCACTTCAACGCCTCTGCCTGTGAACAACCTCACACACGAATGGTCTCCTCGTGCGATCAAGCCTTTTGTTTTCTTTGCTTGTCTGATACCTCAACCCACACCAAATTCCCACTGGCTTGCGCAAACTATATTTCTTGATATAGCCAGAGCCTGCTTGCACATAAGCCATTCAGTTTTTCTCCTCTCCCACGTGCAAGAGTCAAATTGTGAATACTTGTTCACTTCCAATTTCATGCCCACGTCTGATTACGTGCCTGTCTCCATACACTAAGTGTTATCAGCAACACTAAGGGGCTGTTTGGTTGCCTGAAAAAAAAAATGCAGTGTAAAGTAAATGCAATGTATTATGAATACTTTGAGACTGTTTGGTTGTTTGTAAAATAAACGCAGGAGAATTGTTTTCCTTGTTTGGTTAGGTAGAACCAGAGTAAAGTAAAAACGGTTTTTTTATAATAATTTATTTTTACACCTCTAATTTGAGCTTGAGCTTAATTAATTAATTATGATGACAAGGACTTCATTTGGGACGACTTTCTTATTGCTTTTTAAAACAATTTTTTAATTTAAAATTTTTAATTTTTACATTTACACAGAAAAATGGCTTTAAGAAGCAATAAAAAAATCAATAATTTACTAGCAATCTCCATAAAATTTGTGCCAAAATATTTACTAGCAATCTCTATAAAATTTGTGCCAAAATATCACCCATACATTTATAACAATTATATATTACTAATGAAATAAAATAAAATATAGCACTAATTGTGAAGTTGAGTCAATCAAAAATATCATCTATTAATCAATAGTTGACAGCAAATCCGAACTTGCCTTTTCTGCAAGTCCGTCTATGAATAACGCCCCTCCCCCCCCAAGCGCAAATTCGTCCGAAGCTTCATCATCTTTATCTATTTATATTCACAAAACCCTAACAACGATTGCCATCAAATAAATCACAGCTTTGATCTGCACATTTCATGCATTTTCAAATTTGAGGACGATGGAGACGGAGCGGGGAAGAACGCGGAACTCTCCCATCTTCTATTATTCCCGCAGATCCTAAAACCATCTCCGGTAAACCTTCCTACACCGACGCGATTGGGTCCTGCCGGCAATTCTTTCTTTCCGTGCGCGCAATCGCGGCGTCGGAGCCGCCGTGGGTCGTTCCCTCGCCGGCAAGGCGTACTGCTTCTCATGGAGGCATCGACCTCGTGTACAGCGGCCTTAATTCCTCCCTCAAAGGCCGCATCCCCATTTCCCTCCGCCTTGTCCTGCTGCAGAAGAAGAGCCTTGCCCGACGCCGGCGACCGGAGGACCCTTCAGCTCTCGATCCAATCAGCTGCGCCGTTTGGCTTTTCCTCCGAGTCTTCTCCACATCGCCCAAAATCCTCTCCACAATCCTCGGTTTGACTGCCAGCTTCGTCGCGCGATCGGTGGAGAAATCTGTTGTGGAGACGATTTCGTCAGCGTTTGATTTACCGATGGGGACGGCGACTCCAACGTCGGAGGTGGCTGGGCAGTGGGTAGATTCCGGTGGACCCGTGGCGGCCGATGTTGTCGGTGAGTCATTGGAGATTGGGGATTATTGGAGTCGGGCCACAGTCGAGCGAGTAAGCGCCGTGGAAAAGGGACAGAGATCGTCAAGGAAGCGACGATGACGGTGGCGTAGCGGAAAGCCTCGCGCGAAGAATTTCAAACCCGCTCATTTTGAGCGGCTTTGGAAGTCGCAGGATCCCCCTCCCATAATACACGCCTAATACTTCAGAGGATTTCTTTTTGTTATACTCAAAATTAACCAAACAACCGAATTTAGTAAATACATGTATTTGTTTTACTTTACCCTCCTAATTCAGGCAACCAAACAGCCCCTAAGTGCCATTAATAATTACAACTCTCCACTCGACCAAGTAACACGAGCAGATAAATCTCTATTTAAATAATTATCTTATAAAAATTGAATAAAGTAACATATATTGACCAAATTTTCAAGATCCACGTCATCGATCTCTGATCTAGGCTGATGAATTTCAAAATTCAAAGGCCCGAGCCAAAATTTTTAATCCGGGCGGATGATTTTAAATTCGAAAAACCGCTCTATGATTTTTAATCCGAGCGGATGGTTTTAAATTCTAAAGACCTCGCGCTGTCGATCTTTGATTGTGGCGGGAAGAAACTACGACAAATGCTGTGTCAATTTCCCCCGGTGGGGAGGGGAGGCCAGAAGGCTACTGAAATAGCTTCAGGAATTTATCATATTGTAAAGTGACTCAATTTGAACATTAATCGATTAATTCAATTGATTAATGAATAAAAGAATATTAAAATTGCTTTAAATATTAATTAATTAATTCAATTTATTTGTATCTAAATTGAGTTTAATGAATCGATTAAAATTAATTAATTTAGATTAATTAATTATGAATGATTACTTAATTCTTAATTGGAATTAATTAATTAAATTCAATTAATTGATTAAAGTTAATTAATTAAGATTAATCATTAAACTGAAATTAATTAACCAAAATTAATCAATTAATTAGAATTAGTTAATTAAAATTAATTAAAATTAATTTATTAAATTTAGTTAATTAATTGAAATGAATCAAAATTAACTAATTAATTAAAATTAATCAATAGAAACAAATTGATTAATTTATATTTAATTAAAAATAATTGATTAGTCAAAATTAATTAATCAATTGGAATTAATTGGTTAATTTTAAATACGAGAGTATTTCAAATTTGAGAGTATTTTAAATCCTAGAGCATTTTAAATTCAAGTCTCAAGATTTTTAAAATTCAACAGCATTGAAATTTAAATAGATTAATTGTTAATCAATTAATTAAGAAAATTATGAAATGAAATGCAATAAAAAATTATATGTTTTTACTAATTAACATACACAATTCACACAAACTGTTCTCTAAACTCTCCAAAACTCTAAAAAAAAAAAAAAACTCTCCAAACCCTCCAACTTGCAACACACCCTACAAGCTCTCAAACTCTCCCGTGCAAACTACAAAACAACATGAGCTCCTCCAAACAAGCAAATGTAATTCATTAGCATTGAAATTTAAATGCTAAAGTAAGAAAAAAAAACAAGTGCCATGCTAAGCTACTAACAAAGTAGAACATGCTATTGGTACTAGTATAGTCCACACTCCACGACACTGAAAAGAAGAAGAGTAAAGTACTGTAACATAAGCACTAGTGTCACACAATAATAATTGCTGGCTAGTAAGTATCGAGCTAGTAAATAACTGAAAATCACAGTCTAGTGTTAAGCTAGTAAACAACTGCTGTCAACTCAAACAAACCATAATTAAATCCTTGGGCATCTTAGTCTAAAGGATTAGGTTGTAAGACCCTCTTTCATGCATCTTCCAAAAGAAGTTCTAAGAACTGTTACTTGAGCAAAAATCCTTTCAATTAAATTTGAACCTTTGGGCAGCCTTGCCTATAGGGCTAGGTTGTAAGACCCATCATTGGGCTACTTTCAAAGGGAAGCAGTAAGACTCGCGCTATCCAAATAACTAGAAAACTTTTACTAGAAGTCGTGAGACCTATTTTTTGAGAAATTTCTAAATGAAATATCAAACCCTCAAACAAAAACCAACGGACATATTAATCTAAATGATTAGGTTATAAGATTCACTTTTAGGTAACTTTCAAAAGGAAGTTGTAAGACCTACCTAAATAATAAAACTCTCGGACAGCCTTGTTGTAGAGCTAGGTTGTACTCACTTTTAGGCAACTTTCAAAAGGAAGTTGTAAGACCTACCCAAATAATTAAACCCTCGGGCATCTTAGTTTATGAGGCTAAGTTGTAAGATCCACTTTACAAGCTATTTTCAATGAGAGCCGTAAGTTTCGACCCAAATTCAAACACCCGGACTACTTCTAAGAGAAGCCGTAAGACTCACTTCAATTCTAAGTTTCGAGTAATTTCCAACCAAAACCAACTATTGGGTATTCTAATAGATGTAAACTCCAAAAATCCAATAAAAATTAAAACACACATCTAATCACCTTTGTTTACACGGGATCCCTTAGAGAAGACAACCCATGGTTACTAATCAGATTCCCTGGATACTACAATCAATGATTAAAAGTGTTGGTAGACTGAAATCTACGGTATATCCGGGATGACAGAACCATGAGATCTTGATTAGATTTACCTCCATTATCCCCACAATTGAGATTAAAATTACCTAAAATTTATTCATCCTTAATCGAGAGTTCTCTCTTATGTGTTAAGAGGGGTAATTAACTATGAATGCTTGCGCTCATGGAAAGTAAGGACCAAGATCTAATTAAACCCTAATATTATCCTTAGG